CACGCACCCACACCCACGCACACACGCACGCACGCACGCACGCACGCACGCACGCACGCACGGACGCACGCACGCACGCACGCACGCACGCACGCACGCACGCACGCACGCACGCACGCACGCACGCACGCACGCACGCACGCACGCACGCACGCACGCACGCACGCACGCACGCACGCACGCACGCACGCACGCACGCACGCACGCACGCCACGCACGCACGCACGCACGCACGCACGCACGCACGCACGCACGCACGCACGCACGCACGCACGCACGCACGCACGCACGCACGCACGCACGCACGCACACGCACGCACGCACGCACGCACGCACGCACGCACGCACGCACGCACGCACGCACGCACGCACGCACGCACGCACGCACGCACGCACGCACGCACGCACGCACGCACGCACGCACGCACGCACGCACGCACGCACCCGCAAACACCCGCAAACACCCGCAAACACCTGCGCACGAACACTCACATTTTTGCAATGCTAAGACCAAATGCCCATTTTAGGAAGGGGTGACCTACCATACACTGGGAGGGCGCATATGTGAAGGTGCCTCGCGCATGCGCGCGCTCATGCATGCGCACGCAAGCTGTGTGGGACGGTGGGTGGGTGGGGGGGTGGGGGGTGAGTTTGTGCACCAATGCCACTGGCAGGCACAGGAGATGTCCAGAGGAAGGATGGGAAGGGCCAGGGCAACGTGAAGGGGAAGGCCAAGGTCAAGGGCCATGAGAGAGAACGAGGCAAAGGCAATGCAAAGGGCGACAAAGGCAAGGAGAAGGGCAAAGGAAAAAGCAAAGAGGGCAAAGGACATGCCACAGAGGAAGAGCAAGCAAAGGATGACCCATGGGGAGGCCTTGTGCTTTCTGGGTTCCGTTTGCAGGATGTATCTTCTGCTGAATCTCGGCCCACCAGGCACCGACCCATGGTCAACGCCAGCAGCTTTGCGGCACAAGGAGAAAATGAAGCAGCCAAAGGCTGAGGATGAGACGCTCAGCTGAATGGGAGGCCATGGCATGGAGGTGCCATGTCGGTGCATTTCGAGGACCTGGAACCAGTGGCGGGACTCGGGCAAGCCAGGCGTCCGGCGCGCGTTTGTTGGGGAAGAGGAGTCGCAGTTGAGCTGAGGTATGCTGTCAGCCATCGGACTGGTCCCAAACCCGCGGGCAGGTGTTGGTCATGATCCTGCCAAACCGGCAGTGGATATGAAGAAGTTGTTGGAGGCGCGCACAAGAGACTTCAATTCAGTCTCTTGGAGTTGGCATTCTGGGTTTGCTGGAAACCAAAAGGACGCCAACCAGAAATCGTCTTGGCTTCCCAACAGACGTTCACATGTACCAAGGCCGCACGGGCAAAGCGCGAGGCCAAGGCCAGCCGGCTTGGGGAGTCTTATGGGTCTGTCTCGAAATGAGTGACTGGTCTTTATTAAGGTTGGACCCCCAAAAGGGGTGGTTGCCAGTGGTACCCGCAACAAAAAAAGCAGACCCAAATGAAATGGGACACCACTCTTGTCACAAAAGATAGGCCCAACTGCCTTGATGAACCAACTGTTTCTGCTTGACAGGCCCTGGAAGAAGCTCAAGCCAGCCGTGTCAAGCTTGCAGAGGCCGCAGAGTCGCAGAGCAGTCTAAAATCTTGTATTGCCCTGTGCAAAGGCAGAAGCACCTGAAGAAGTGCCCGAAGTGCCTGACATGCCTGACGTACCTGAAGTGCCCGAAGCGCCTGCAGTGCCCGAATCATCGAAGGAAGGAAGGAGGTTGACAGAGGCGCAAGTCACCGAGGAGAGTGACATGGCCGTCTAACCTCTGTGCTAGGTCCGACCTCCTGTGCCCCCCGTGCCTCAAGAGGAGGAACCCGTGCACTCTGCTGCCATATGCGGACACATTTTGCTTGGGCTAGGGGCGGTCATGGACCCGCCATGATCATGTGAGGTCTGACCCCTGCCATAAACGATCCCCCTGAAGCAGCGAATGCAACTTCCGCCCCACATGAGTTTCAGGTTGGCACAAAACCAATGGTAGCATTTTGGGGTAGGTGCACCACCCAATCTAGTCTAGTTTAGTGGGGATCGGGATGCTCACTGGGGGTACGATTTGGATTTTGACCCATGGCCATCTCAGAAACGGTGCCAGGGTTCTCGCACCGTGCAGGACGAAGAGGCCTTCTGGGCACCAAAGATGGAAGGTGGGCCATGTATCCCGAGAAGCCACGAGTGAAAACTGGGCGCCCCAGTTGCTTTTTGATGGGAAGTTGTCACGAACCCCCGGCTTGTCCTCTTTCCATTCTCGAATTGAAGATGCCCTGCGCCAGATGGCTTGTGGTCCGCAACACCACAGCGCAAGGCCTTGTCCCAGAACGATGCTCTGGCAGGCACGTGGCACATGCCTCACCTTTCCGACTTGTATGTGTCAGTATGTCCAGCTTTCTGCCTCTTGTGAAGGCGTGGGTACCGCCATCGCCAAACTCGCCATGGGAGACAACGATGCGGTGCAGGAGTGTCAGTCTAAGCCACGTGAGAACGCACGCGCACAGCGCTTTGCTTTTTTGGTCCACACGTTGGGTGTGGCATGCCTTGAGTCATTGAGCCAGGAGCTGGTGCAGCACGTAGGTGGCGCCCCTTGCGTCGCCCATGCTGCCGCAGTGGCCAGCAGCGCACTGCGGTCGCTGCTGCTGAACCGGCCCGAGGAGGCGCGACATGACGCCGACAGCCGACAGGTTGGTCAAATGTCCGTGGTGGGCGCTGATGACATGTCCCACAAAATCCAGATGAACGAGCTCTCATTTTGCCATGTCGTCTTTGGGCACCGTTCAGTAAATTGGATGGCGCCCTTTGTACATCGCTGCCTTGCATGGCTCACTTTTTGGGTTCGATTTGTTTGGTGGCAACTGGACGGCCCGGGCACCGGGCACGGCATCGCTGGGTTGCGAGGCCCGCACGCTGCTGGTGCTGGACGAGGTGCTGCTGCTGCCCGTGGAAGGCGACGCCACGCTGCTGAAGGCGTTGCAGCGCCTGGCGCCGTGGCCAGACGTGGCCAGATGGGCGGGGCTCCACGTGGGTTTTTGGGAAGGAAGATGGTTGCATAAGCTATGGCGATCCCATTTTCGGGTGGTTAACATCCATTTGCCACGTTTGATGTTCACCAGGGGTACAGGGTTTTGACAACCACAGCCAAATGAAAGCGCAAAGGGACAGGCGAAGGAATGTTGCTTGAGGCCTTGAGTGTGGGCAGTGCTGGAGCACCCTTGCTGCTGCGGACGCTGGTGGCCGCCCTGTCCAAAGTCGAGGAGACCTGCAACGAGACTCTGACAGTTGTCGCTTCTGAACAGACTGCATGTATTGCTTCGGCCACAAGATGTCGGTGAAACCAAATGGTTTGCAAAGAGAGAGTCCCAAATGGCTGGTCCAGATTTTTCCTCACACCCACAAGAGGGTGCTTCAATGATATGACATCAGGCAAGTTTCGTCAGGACCGCCACTTGGAGGTGCGCTCAGCTGCAGCTGCGGCCACGGAAGCCCTTGTGAAAGGCGCGGCGCTCGCTTTCTGCGTTCGAGGAGGTATTTGCTTTCTTGGTGCACTTGTGTCGAGGTACTTGGGGGAGTCATTTGACAGTTCACCCATGGTGGCCCATGGTCATTGCAAACTTTTTCTCAATGCCTGATAGCCAGTTTGCACAGGTCACAGCGCATGCGTGAAAGCGATGGCCAGAATAATTGACCAATCTCCAGTAGAATTGGTTCTGGGATTCTAAAACGAGATGTGTGCCCGTCTTTTCTGAGGGTGCCGCCTTTGGTGGTTTCCAAGGAACACCTACAGAGAAAGCCACCGTTTTACCGGGTCCCCCCCAAAAAAACACACACGCACAAAGCAAAAGGAAACAAGAGATGTGGACCAAACCCCACTCATACAAATCATACAAAGAGAAAAAGAGATGGGGGGAGCACAAAACCGGACTGCATGTCAGCTGGCCATCTTGCGGCCTGCCTTCGAGGCGCAGACCCCTTTGCCTTCGAGGCCTTGCTGCCGGCGCTGGCTGCGGCCATGGAGCCGCGGCGCAGCCCCGCCATGAAGCTGCATGCCTTGTGGCTCGGCTGAGCCGTTTTTGGTGGAACCAAGGGGTGGTTCGGATGAGTGGAGGTGTCTTAGTTACCCACAAGAACCAGAGGTTCAAAAATGCCCAAGCCCCAAGCCAGCTTCTCAGCTTCCCTCTTCAAAAGTGGCAGATTTAAGGGACATCAAGAGTGAAGGGAAATCTGGCCGCCCGGATTTTGTTTCGAACTGCCTGGGTGAAGGGCGATTGGCAACATCCCTTTGTGCCGCAGATTCACTCACAGAGAGCATTCAGCAAAACCAAAGATCAATCTCCCCACACAAACCGCAGACGGGCTCTAGGTTTCCCATGTGGAGCATTCGTTTTGACCGCTCATGTGCCACCTGAAATGAGGGGAGGGAGCTCAGGAAACCCTTACTGTATTCGGTAGTTTGGATTGGTGGTTTGGGGATTTGGACCTCTGGTTCTTGTAGAGGGGAAGTGGGAAACCTCCAAACCACTAGTCCAAACCACCAAGAGGTGGCGAGCATTGCCTTAGGAAGCTGTTGAAGAACTGCTGGCGGCGTGGCAAGGAGCCGAACGCGCGAAGTGAGGTGCCTTTCGCGTGCGACTGGCTTTCTTCCAGGGGCTCATTCTCCATATTTTCAACCATCGTTCTTTTCAAAAACCAGCTGTTTTTCCTGGGGTTCTGATGGTATTCTAGAAAGAAGGATCCCTGGAAAGAATGGGGAAGCGCCCCCTAGATTTTTGCTGGTTATTTCGGAGGGCGAGTCTTGTTTTCCTTCTTGCCTTTGCTGCCGAAATGACGTGGAGCAGCAGGACGGTGAGGCAGCAGTCGTGGAGAAATTGCCAGAGCTGTTGCCAATCACCACAGCCTTGTTGGTGGACACCAGCAAAGAGGCGTGGAACCGATGGGTGCTTTCTGAGCATCCTAAGTTTCCTTTCCCTACCGCCATCCACAAGTGAGCCACAATCACAACCGGGTCGATGACGGTTAGTAAGGGATAGTCCCAACCATAAATGGCCTTTTGATTTCTTTGTATAGTGTTGGCTAGACCATCTTAGTACCGATCGATTTTTCTTATGACTCAAGTGGGATCCCCAATTTTTTGATGGGACGCCCCCTGGCCAGGTGAGCTCGTTGGCCTCAGAGTCCTCGGACGTGCTCATGTCCCTCTCGGGGAACTTGGACCTGGAGCCCCACATGGAGGAGATCATGAGCTGCGCCAAGGGCAAGCACGACGCGGGGACGCCAAGCTTCGAGAAACGGCTTCCCTGGAGAAAAAATCGACGGAAAGCCGCATTTGTCAAAATTTGCCCTCCGATGTGCAGCCTTTCGTGATTTTTGGGCTGCTTTTGTATGGGCCCCCCTTCTGGTTTCACTGCCCCCTCTGTTTGCAGAGCTTGCGGAGCTTGCCAGGTCTCCAAGTGCGTGCGGGACCTCGCAGAGGTGGTCTTTGTTCGCCGCGTCACGGCACCGGCACTGGCTGTGGTGCTGCCAGTGCTTAGCCAGAGCCCTACTCCCAAAAGGGTTGCGAGGCATGGCAATTGAAACTCGGGTGACCTCTGCCGCAATCAAAACTCGGAGCAAGGGGACAGTTCAGGTGTGGATCTCCGCCCTGATTCCTCACACGGTTTCTGTACTCGTAGCAGGTTTTGATGGCACCGGTTCACCAACTGCAGGTAAGGGCCTGAAGAGCCGAAATGCGCGGACGCAGCGGCAGGCGATCGCGGCGCCAAAAACCCATCGTCGCAATCATGTGAGCAACGGTCCATATGGGTATGGGTCAAAATCAAACCACCAGGGGACCGCAGGTTTTAGTCCATGTTTCCATTCACCAGGGCCCCATTTGGTACCTATTTGTGACCCACACCCATATATTTACCGTCCACTGCAACAAAGGGAATGGAATTCGGTTCTTTCGGCAAATCGCCATCAGGAAATGGGGTCGTTCAGAATCCAATGTCATTTGTGGGGACCACGTGTTTTCTAGCATTGCTCATGAAAGGGTTGAAAGATGTGGCTGTGGGTCAAAGCACTGGTACCATTTTGGGTAGGTGCACCATGTTAACTGGGGGTACGATTTGGATTTTGACCCATGGCCATGTACATTCCTGAGTGCCCTCCAGGCATGCATCATTGCTGAGAACATGGGCCGCCTGGTCTCGGCCACGGCAGACCTCCGTCCTTTCGCACCTTCGCTGCTGCCACAGCTGAAGCGCATCAGTGAGGAGGTTGCAGCCGGGGGCCCAACTCGGTTTGGCCGAAATGGAAGCGGGGTGCTGGCATAGGGGATAAGCCTAGTGCGAAGCATATTGGTTGAAACCATCGAACCATGGAAACAGGACCCAGATGTTCGAGCTGTGGCAGAGCGAGCATACACCTTCTTCTCGGAAGTGACTGACGCCGACCGAAGTGGTGCAGTACGAAAGGAGCCAGGGCTATCCTTACCAGTTTGACGCGATATTTGGGCAACCCCCAACTCCCACAACCGACCCCCCCCAATTTACTGATTTAGTGTTTTAGCAAGACTGGCGGTCAAAAATCACATCGCCAGGGGCGCCTCTTCTGGTAATTTATGGGCGCCATTTTACTGCGTCTAGTGTGCCCGTTTGGTCAAAACGTTCATCTCCCAGGAGCTCCGGGCCATCCTTGAAATGGCCGTGACGGAAGCAGAGGTGGCGCTCGCAGGCAGTGAAAGTGCCTGCAACGAGCAACATACGTCGCAATATCATACTTCATGTGTATATATATATTTATATACATACATATGTATGTATATGTACCTACGTATTGTGTACATTTTGCTTTAACAGATTGAAGGTGAAGTTCAAGCGAATGGGACAGTTTGCGAGGTTCGTTCGCGAGGTTCGTTCGCCTCGATGGCAGGTGCTGTCGGAGGTGGCCGCGACATCGAAATGACGCCGTGCCCGAGCTTTGTGCGTGATATAGTGCTGGACCATGCCCGACTCTCAGTGTTTGGAGGCCCTTTGGGGAGAGGGGTATGAACATCAGCAGGCCTTTTGGGTTGCTCAAAATTTCAAGAGCTAGAAATACGCAGGGTTTGGTTTTTGTTTCCATTTACCTAGGGGCCATTTTGGGTACATCTTTTTGAGCCCCAGCCATTTGTCCAAGGGGTATGTAAAAGGGGTATGTACAAGCACCCCTTTTTTTGTGCCCGGAGGACAGCTGAGCAATGCTGCAATCTGGCTCAAGTCAACGCGCTCAGCTGTGGAGTAGCCGGTGTCCCAATCATTCTCGCATGGAGCCGGTTCCCACCTCCGAGCCCGAGCTTGAAGTCAAAAAAAGTGTCAGAGGAAATCAAAGCCTCCGCGGGTGGAAGGCCTTCACCTTCTTGGCGGTGGGCGTTGCGTTGATCTTGGTGGGTGGTGCTTGGGCGCGCAACCATGACAGCGACCGTCACAAAGTTGACGGGTTGTTGGAGTTGTTCGGGCGCAAGCGCGTCAGGCAGGTGGCGTCCGGTGCCAGGGGCGACGTGGACTCAGCCGCAGAAAAGGCTGAGAAGTCCTGGGACTTGCTGGGCGGAAAACGAAGGAAGTTCAAGAACAAGCCAAGGGTGCGCCGCGAGTGGAGGACCTTGAGCGACGAGATGCGGGAGAAGGTGGCGAACGCCTTCTGGACCCTCAAGACGCTGACGACTGAAGTGGGCCGGGCCAAGTATGGCCCAGACTTCCACAATCACGATGACATGCTCTTCCTTCACTCCTGTGCCACCACAGACCCCAAATGTGACCAGGGCCACTTTGGACCCCAATTCATGACCTTCCACCGTGCCTTGCTGCTGAAGTATGAGCGGGCCATGCTGGCCGTTGATCCCAGCATCGAGGCCCTGCCTTACTGGAACATTGCCTTTGACTCAAAGAATGGGAAGTATCGCAACGATCCAGAGAAGTACATCTTCACGAACAAGTACTTCGGCTCCTACTACGGCACGGGGGTAAACTACCAGGTCATCGACGGCTTGTTTGCAAATTGGCCCATAGCCAAGTACACCCAGGAACGCTTTGGCAAGGACAGCCCCATGGCCGCGATCAGCACCTGCGTCAGGAAGGAGTACTTCAAAGGCTACCAGGCCACCACCTGCGACAAGTGCTGCGGTGTAGCGGGCTGCACCTGCGAGGAGGGCGACGAGCGCACAACTTACCTCCGCAACCACGACGACTGCTCGCCTCATGTGGCCCGCTGGCCGGAGGACCCCGATGCCATGGGTCCTCTTGGGGGCACCTATGAGCTGCTCTACTCTGAGGAGGACTTCGACAAGTGCAAGGACATTCGGCTAGTGAGGACTTGGATGGAATGGCAGGACTGCATCGAGATGGGCAACTTCATGTGCAGCCAGCGTTTCGATTTCGTCATGGGCCAGCCGGAGTTCCCCAAGACTTTCCGCCAGAAGATCTTGCCGGAGATGAAGCGTCGCGCCGCGGCCGTCGTCCTCGGCGAGCAAGGTCGCTTCTACCGCGAGACGGTGCGACAGCTTGAAGACGCAGCGGACTCGAGCAGTGACGATTCCTTCACGAATGTCATCAAGACGCTGGTCAAGGGCCTTTGCGGGGACTACATGCTGTACGGCTACCTCAAGCAAAGGAGAACCTTCCTGGGGCACGAGATCGAAGTGGAGCAGCCTCGCTTCTTCCACTCGCAGGCCCACATCAAGTTCGGCAAAGATCTCCTGGATGTCACAACGTCTCCAAATGAAGCTGCAGCCTTTACCGGCTACCATTCAGACATTGACCGCAACAACATGATGTGGATGGTGAATTCTGAGTCGGCGGTCAGCTTTATGGATGACATTAGCTGGGCTTATCCCCGCACACAAAGGGTGCGTCCGCGAGATGTTGCCAAGACGGAAACCAAAGGCCTTGGCAAAGGGATCTCTGGCCCCTTTGCGATTTACGATGTGTTGGCTTGCGGCAACAATTCGGACATGTTTTACGAGTACGAGGTTGGGGAGTCGCCGTGGCTGCCTGGCACGCTCTTGAATGATGTGGTGAACGATGGCTTCCCTTTCAAGAACCTCTTCACCTGCGAAGAACACGAGAAGTGTGATGGTGGTTCAAAGGGCTACACACACCGAGAGATGCTTTACTGGACTTCTCCAGAGAGGACCCCTTACACGTATGACACTCTCGAACACTTGTACTACGACATTTGAGGCAGCATTGGCTTAATAATCAATTCTCAGCTGCGCGGGCGACCAGGGCCTCTGATGTCTTTAATTAATTGACACTATTTTCGAACGAGTTCTGAGAAAACATGCTGCAATACAGCTGGAATGTGTAGCGACGTAGTGCAGTGAGGGATTGTGACGGGAGACAAGTGGCTATGAATTTGATGGTGGAGCCACGCAACAGTGGTTGGTGGACCCACAAATCCTCAATGTAGACTATCTCCCCTAGATGAAAAGGTTAGGCAGTCCCAGCTTTTTGAGCGAAACCACATGCAGGATTCTGGGAGCGAGTTTCATGGCCATGGGTCAAAATCCAAGTCGTACCCCCAGTGAACATCGCAATCCCCACTAAAATAGGTTCTAAAATGGGTGGTGAATTCACCTACCAACCAAAATGGGATCCCAAAACGGCTTTGACCACAGCCACATCCCCACCTCCCGGATGACGTCAGGTGGTGCTGCTTTGTCTTGGCCTCGGACGCTCCTCCTCCAGTGCCTGGCGGAACCGCTTGGCCCCGCTGCTGGAGAGTGCGCTGCCAGGAGTCGGGGGACATGTTTTCCAGGTGCTCAGCCCGGCGACTAGAAGAGACTTTCATGTTTCGTTTGGGTTTTCTGAGGGATGCACGGAATTTGCCGCTTTCACTTGCAAGTGGATTGGCGAACCACTCACCGGCTGGTGTGGTCGCGTGTTTGGGTGGCGTAGTTAGGGGAAGCTGCGGAACTTGTTGGGATGAACTTTGCAGCAAGAGGCTAGGTCATTTCACGTGGTGTTTGCTTCCCTTTGGCAAGGCTCACACGGTTTGACTCTTCGCAGGAGGTGCCCACGACATCAAAGCTCTGGTCACCAGCCTGCGCACCGTGGCTGAGCGACTCGCTGAGACCTCAGTTTGTGATACGGGGGGTAGACTTTTCTGGGGTAGAAGGAAACATGGGGACGGTAGAAGCGAACCGACAGCATTCCATGAAATTTGTGGGGAAGCACCCAATGATTGACATGAATCCCAACAGGTGCCCAACGAAAGTTCATTCCCACACGTGTCATTCTGTTGTAGATGTCATGGAGACGTCGGGCTTTGTCAGATTTTCGCTGATGCAGGCTGGTCGAGTGCCACATGTGTTAGCGCTCCTCTTTGCGAGGCGTGCACGCCTGACGATCCAGAGCACTTGTCCTCAGATTCCGAAGAGGCTCAGCCTGAGATGCGACGTGTGTAACGCAGCAACGCACCGTGGATTCTGAAAAGCACATGGCGCCAGGTCGTTGGCACAACTCACTCTGCCTGGATGCTAGATTAAGAACACACGCGTGGTTGAATACTGACTCAGAAGGAGCTTTCACACAAGTGTTCGCTTGCTGTTAGATTCCGGCGTTTGGTCCCAAATTGTTGCCTTGGACAGGAAAGGCTGCCGCTGCTTTGCGACTGCACCTTCACCTTGGCTTGCGGGGCACAGCGCTTGGAGTCTCATGGTGTGATCTTTGCGGGATCTAGTGCCAAGGCTGCAACCCTGCTGACTGATGCCAGGCTCCAGCTGAGGCTCATGCACCGCATTGGAGACACATGTATGCCGGCACGAAACGCACAAGACGCCAATGCTTTGTTCAGAAATGTGTCGTTCGATTATGGCAATGAGCAACGTAAAAGCTTGGCCCTTGCCCTGGCTATTGCCGCAGTGAATCACATCAAGGTGTTGAGGCACAGGTATGTTGTGACTGTTCTCACTCGCGGCTTGCGACAAGGCGAGGCTGTGTCTATGGCCTGGTGGGCGGCAATGATAGTGGAAAGAGCCGGCTCACCCAGCGGCATGCAGGGGTCACTTGGATCATTGGCGACTTGCCAGCGTGGTCAAGTCGCCTCGAGAAGAGAGAAAGAGAGAAAGAGAGAAAGAGAGAAAGAGAGAAAGAGAGAAAGAGAGAAAGAGAGAAAGAGAGGAAGAGAGAAAGAGAGAAAGAGAGAAAGAGAGAAAGAGAGAAAGAGAGGAAGAGAGAAAGAGAGAAAGAGAGAAAGAGAGAAAGAGAGAAAGAGAGAAACAGAGAAAGAGAGAAAGAGAAAAAAAGAGAAAGAGGGAAAGAGGGAAAGAGGGAAAGAGGGAAAGACAGAAAGACAGAAAGAGAGAAAGAGAGAAAGAGAGAAAGAGAGAAAGAGAGAAAGAGAGAAAGAGAGAAAGAGAGAAAGAGAGAAAGAGAGAAAGAGAGAAAGAGAGAAAGAGAGAAAGAAGAAAGAGAGAAAGAGAAAAAGAGAGAAAAAGAGAGAGAAAGAGAGAGAGAA